ACCAGCATGGAATTATTTGATACGTGGCAACAGATAAGATTCAAGTATGTGGATGAGTCATTGATTGATTTCTGACGCGTCGCGGCGCGTGCGTCCATTTGCGAACGTGCTACCAATCGCGTCTTCGCAAAATAGCCGATTCTCATAGTATGAACGGAGCCTTAGGGACTTTAGGTGGTGTAGCGGTCGAACGGTATTTCAGTTGATAATGACAACGCAAATGAGATAACATTAAAATAAAACCGTTATCTATTAGGTCGCAACGAAAGACCTTGCGCATTTGTTCGAAGACCTGACAAACGGCTGCGCATCAACCTGGAAGGGGAAATTTTTGAACCATATACAGGATGGTGATGTGCCTTCATATTCTCGAGTCTCACCTCCTGCACGCCTTTTTGGAGCCTGGAAAATGCCATACGTTTCTACCCATGTACGCCACTGACTTCTTTGCGAATTTTGTCTGGGACACACAGCGAGCGAAGCCTGCCGCAAAATATGCTCTGTGGAAGTAGAGGGAGTGGTAAGTGAAAAAACCTGCCAACTTTGGTTCAGAAGGTTCCGCGAAGGAAACTACAACCTCGAAGATGGACGCCCAACGGAAAGTTAATTTCGAACGTTTGGAGCTGTTACTTCAAGACTTTCCGCATGCAAGCGCCATGGAGCTGGCAAAGGAGATGCACTGCTTCAACATGGCCACAGGTCGTGTTCATCACATGCTGGAAAAAGTTGAGAAACTTGGTCGATTGATCCCTCATGAGCTGACAGAGCATTGCAAGAAAAGAGGTATCGGGGTGTGCGGAGGTTTTCTTGCAAGGAGTCGCCGTTTCGACTGGCTTGGATAATGTATTACTGGAGATGAAAGGTGGGGGCTCTACCTATGTCATACCAGAAGAAGACAGTGAATGGGTGCGAACCAGAAGCCAGAGCCTGTTCCAAAGCAGGAGGTTCATCCCAAGAAAGTTCCTCTGTCAGTTTGGTGGAGTGTTCGGGGAACACGTCATTACGAGATGCCAGACAATACCACCGTCGACGCTGAGGTGTACTGCTCACAACCACGAAGGCTCGCAGCTGAAGTCGCGAAACTTCGCCCGAAGCTGGACGAAGTTTTCTTCTTCATGACAACGCGCGACCCATGTTGCAAGGGTAACCCAGGACACATTGGCGGAACTTGGATCTGCGGTTTTACCCCATCCTCCATATTCGCCAGGTCTTGCACCTACGGATTACCACCCACTCCTTTCCCTGGCTCACTTCTCAAAGGATAAAAAGTACGACAACTTTCAACAGTTGAAAGCGGACATGGGCACTTCTTCGACTCGAAGCCTGCCGAATTTTGAAGGAGAGGCATTTGTTCCTTGTCGACCGATGGCGGACTGTTGTAGGTACTTGTGGGAATTATTATTAGGAATAAAGTTCAATTCAAAGAAAAATATGAGTTTGAAATTGAGGGTCGAATCCGCCATTACTTTCGTTGCGACCTAATAGTTACCTT